AAACCTCGATATTTGAGTTTGCTTCCCCTTGCCTTTGTCTAATTTTGCATACTCCACGATATGTTTGGCCCTAAGATGCCTTGCCAATGATCCGTATCCGCCGGAAATCCCCAAGCTATAATCTTTTTGGCACCACTTGCAAGTTACTGGCGTGCCAATTCCCAGTCTCCGCATCCTTCTACTTTTCAAAATTATTTTTCATAAGTTCAAATTTACTTTTTTTTTCTTACCGGGTTAGGATGAGGCGGGCTCGTCGTTGTGGGTGCCGTCACCCTCGTCCTAGGCCGTCTCCGGTTGAACTTCGTCCGCATCATCATCCTCGAGCTCTTCTTCGTCAACGCATCCCCGTCTCTCCGTTGGTAATCTGTTTCAAAATCATCTTCGTTTTGAGAAGAAGACCCAATATGTCGTTTACCTTTGCGTGTACTAGGATTATTCCTCTGGATCTCGTTCTTTCGGTTGCGATGGATGTTGCTCATATCAACCGAACTTCTACCACGATTCATCTTAAAAAATGTAACAAATATTAAATTTGAACAAATATATTAATATGAGTAAAATAGTAATGCAACTTATTAAAACTATTTTAATTAATACTTCAATCTAACAAGTGTAGTTTATTGAAATAAAATTCTAACTAATATTTTTTTATAAAAACAATTCGAGTGAAATGTGAACTACTTTAATTAAAATGATAACTAATTAACTAAAATGCGATTATTATATTAATTATAGCAAATTTCCAAGTACTTTAATTTAGTGAAAACTACTTTAATAAAATGTGAAGTACTTTAAAAAAATAATTTGAACTACTTATTTTCTTTGAAATAAAAATTGAAACTACTATAATGTAACAATTAACTAGTTTTGTAAAGTAGTCAAAAAGGTAACAATTAATTAAAATTTGTAATGAACTAATGTACTACTTTAATAAAAATGTAACAATTAAGTAATCAACTAATAATGTTAAAAAATGTAACCAATAAGACAAATGTATGAATGTGTATACTAATTAATGGGAGTAATAGAATGTATTTAACTAATATTAATTAAAGTGTAACTAATGTATAATATATTGTGTATAGTAGACAATTATAAGTATGAGTATTAAATAACAAGTATGTAACAAGTAGATATTAAGTATATATAAGTATATAACATGTGTAGTAGACTTATATATATGATTAATATATTAATTAGATGTAATATAAGTAATACGTAGTATATTAGTAAATAACAAGTATATAATAAGTAGATATTAAGTATATATATAAGTAGATAATTCGAAGTATATATATTAGTATTTAGTAGATATAATAATTGTATAACTAATATATAATATAATGTTTATAGTATATAATATATAAGTATATTACTATAAGATGAGTAATACACTTATATTTAATACTTTAATATATAACGTATATATTAAGTAGATGTAATATGTATGTATTAAGTAGAGATTACGTAGATAATAAATATAAGTAATATAATATATGTATTTATAAGTAGATAATTAATATATAAGTAGATATAATAATTGTATAATTATTAAATAGTAAAATAGAATGGATAATAAGATAATTTGAGAAGATGAAGATGGAAAAATGGAGAATTGGAGATGATTAAGAATAATAGAATATTAGAGAGTAGGAAGAGTTGGAAAGAGGTGTAGAAAAATGTATAAAAATAGGAGTATTTATAGGGTTTTTTTACCCCCACCCCAAACGCCCGGGCCCCCAACCCCCACCCAACAGCTAGTGCAAATAACCGTTTGGCAACGGCTAGTGCCGTGTTTGGTTGGAAAAAAATAAAATAAAATTATGGTCCCGGCCAGTGCAAATATATCCTAGCCCTACCCGGCCCCGCTTTTACCACAGGTTCGGGTCGAATCCCGGTACCGGGCCACATGAACCGGGTCGGTCCGGGCGGCCCGACCCGAGTCCACCACTAAGCAAAAGTCTCTAATTTTAGGCTTCTATAGTCTATACGAACCTAGGAGTGCACTGTGATGGTAAGAAGGTGATGATAAAACTATTACGTGTGAAAATTAGAATAAGGTAAAGATTTTAATTTTGAAATTCAAATCTGAAAATTATATTTTTGTTATATACTGAGTGCCTATTGAATTAGAATTTACTTTCACTATCTTATATACTCCGTATATAATAGCAAAGCGATTCAATTGGTTTCTTTGCAGAGCTTTTCATCTACTCCGTATTTTTTTAAAGCTAAAAACACAACAAAAACACAATTCAGGCTAATTTATTAACAATTGTCAAGTTGAGAAAAAAGGTGGTTCCAATTTACCTTAGGAAGGTCATGTTAGTGAAAAGGCTGAGCAGCATTTGTTCTAGGATGGAAGATGGATGATATCCCATTGGATTAGGGGTGGACTGGGCCGAATCCGGGCTCCAAGCCCAAAAACATCAAGCCCGGTACCGGCCCAGGTTTGCACCAGGACTGGGCCGGGCCGAGCATTAACTAATTTTTTTAAATTTTGCCTTTTTGAATTAATTGCAACCCCACCACCCCCACCCCAAACCGTCCAGCCCCACCCACCTAGCAGCCAGCCCAATGGGGAAAAAAATAATTGGGCCCAGACCGTATTACCGGAACGGACGGGCCGGACCGGTCCACCAAAATAGGAGCCCAATGCCCGCTTATTTCTTCTACCGGGTAGGGTCCCAGTCAACCGGGCCCGGTCGGGCCTGCACAGTTGCGGGCTGGAACGGGTAGCGGGCCAGGTTGCCCCATCCCAGTCCATCCCTACATTGGATCCAAAGGTAATCATTTAAGTGTCAATATTGACTTTTTTGGGAAGAATTTTATAAATAAGTAAAGTTAAATATGTGTACATGATACAGAATTAACAGATCTTAGGATTTATCAATTACGTATGCATCCAGATGCTTAATATGCTGAATTCTTAATTGTTCTTTGATTTGCAGAACCTCAAAGGATGTGCATAAGTTATTGAGAACTTATTAGTTGGAAGCAGGGCTGTGCATTAACCGGGTCGGACCATATTTTAGACCTGAACCGGACCGGAATGGACCGGTCCGGACCGGACCGGTATAAACCGGTCCGGGTTTCGGTCCTTAGTTTTGTAAGATTCCGGGTTCCGGTCCGGTCCGGGTCAAACCCGGAAAAAACAGGTCCGGACCGGAATGGACCGGTAACCTATTTTCCCGTAAATTATATACTTGGTTTTGTATCATTAGTCTTTATGTTTATGACTTATTTTTGTCTTTTATTATATAAACGAATATATACGGAGTGTATATTTGGTGTCTAATTATTTCCTAAGTTGTTATTTATTTATTTATTTATTTATTTATTTATGTGATTTTTCTGCTTTTTATTTGTTTCTTTATTTGCACGTGCACATGTAGTTTATACGTAGTATATTTTTGGACTTAATTTAGTTTTTATTACTTTATAATAGATTTTGCATTTTAATATACACAAAAGATTGTAGTTTTAATTATTGTGGGAAACTAATTGTTACGATTGAATAGTTTTGATAACTATATTCCAAAAATAATAAATGAGCTACACAAACAATTATTTAGTCTATTTAGCATATCCGCACATAAAATTATAATTTAGAACAACAACATCCAAGCCTTATTCCTAAAAAATTTGGGGCCAACTAAGAACACTCTAAGATAATATTTATTTTCTAAAACCGGGTCAATTAGGGTCAAAACCGGACCGGACCGGAAATTCAGGTCCGGACCGGTCCGGACCGGTTAGATTCAGGTCCGGTCTCCGGTCCAAAGAAAATGATGATTCCGGTTCTGGTCCTAACCGGTTCCGGTCCGGTCCGGTTTTGGACCGGTTTTGGAAGGACAAAAAACGAGAATAATCGTACGCACAAAAGTTCAACCCCATATATTCCAATCCTAACTCCTAAGGCAAGTGCGAGCAACTTATAAAGGACACCTCAAATCTCAATGCCTAGCGGCATCTCAATGCGGCGAGGGTCCAACAAAAGTTCCACCATAAAGCCATAAAGGTGAAATGTGTCAACTTTAGCTACACAACGTGACCGAAACGGATGTGCCATCTTCCCTTCTACAAGCAAGTTATGTTATAGCAATGTGCAATATTCTATAAGGTGCTAGGCGCTAGTCAGGCGCCAGCACAACGCCTAGCGCCTAGGCAGCTAGGCGGGCGCCTAGGCAGGGATTAATCGGAGACATAGAAATTATAGTTTTATAAATATTTTTGCATAAATATGATTATCAATGTTGTGTTTATGTGTATATAAAATATAAACACACACATACACACACTAAGATGCATGAATGATAACAGTTTTCACATTTAATAACATATCATACACACTTCTTAAATTCAAGTAATACTACATAATAATTATCAATAAATAATAATAACACTTAAAGAATATATATAAAAACGAGTATAGTGTTTATTTTAATCTATAACTAGTAGCTTTCTTCATATGCGTTGTTAGAATAAAGATACATATATCTCTTAGAATACTAAAATAAAAAGTAAAATAAAATGTTCGATAAATCTAGATGCCTAGGCGGCCGATTAAGCGCTCTAGGCGAGTAGTTAGACGCCTTAGGCAATCGACTAATTCATCTAGGCGCCAAATCAATTAATCAGAGTGCCTAGACTAAAATCGGGGCGCCCTACTACCGCCTAGGCGGGGACTAGTCGGGCGCCTAAGCGATTTTTAGAACCATGGCAATGTGTATTCAATGCATGGTGTTAGTTTATTAATACTATGCGTGTTTTATATCCACGAGGTCATATATGCAACTCTAGTTGGATGTAGTATTTCAAAGATTTTATTCGTATACAACTCTTTAGACCAATAATTGATTGTTTACTATTTTTATTGGTTATTACATCAATGCATCAGACATTCAGTTCTATATACCAAAGATTCAGCTGATTACAAGCTTAATACATTTAAAAAATATTAAAATATCAATAAAAATTAAAAACACAAAGAATAAATTTGGGTGTAAAGTGAGAAATGTGCTCTTACTATAGTATAAGAACCCGCTCAAGCACAACCATCAAGATGATCAAACTTTCTGCACTACAAGGGTAACTACAACTACTATTAGTTTGAATCAAGGCATGCTTAGGCTAACAGCAATCTAACATTCTATCCGTATAAATGGTATCTTTCGTCCTATCCACAATGTAGTTGGAATAAAGTGGTGATGACTATGATGAAGCAGAATCAAAGAAAAATTCTTTAAGATACGTCTGTGATCTATTTATTGATGAGAGCAGCTACTAATAAATAAGACGCCTGAACTTACATCACATATAAATTATTAATGAGATTGCTAACTTCCACCCGTCTAGCTATTTACCTCATCACCAGTCATCAACACAAATAATGGGATGACTGATGAGAGGAGAAACTTAAATCCCTGCGCTTGGGTTGTCTGCACCAGCTGCCACAACACCCATACCACCACCACTACCGTGTACTGTTTTTGTGATTTCAACTTGGTCACTATCAAGCTCATTCACAAGTTCGTCGATTTTCCGGAACTGATAAGGCCATTTCACATTATATAAAAACTGTCGAAGATCAAACCTGTTGTCCTCTGGCGAGTAACTCTGCACAACACACACAAAAAGCGGGTTTAACGGTGGGTGAGGATAAACTAAAGGCAGATAGAACAGATATACCAAATATGACAAATACACTATATATATATCCTTTGAGCATATCTTTTGGAACAATTTAACACACAAAATGTAAAATTGAATGAAAAAAGTATATCAGACCGTCAAAAATGAGTTAAATAATATATTTACATTCAACTTTTTTCTATTATAAGATTAAAACTTGTTTTACTGACATCATATAACTTTATCAAATTTATTTAACTATTTTTAGACAAGGGTATATGTCTTCCAAGACTTTTTTTAGGATCAAGTATAGGTAAATTTGTTACTAGTTCCCAAACTCAATAATGTTCCAAATTGAGCTCTAAAGAAGAAGAAGAATGAGTACCTCGGCATGATATGAAGGTGTTAACACAGTCATCTTGTGTCTGTTAACGGCATAGTACTTGAAGAAGTGCTTCACTTTATCGCCCACCTCCTTTGGAGTCAACACCGTACCCCATTTATAGCAGAGGTTCTACAAAGCCAAGTTTAATGTTTTATGCAAATGCAGTTTATATAGGATCCCAGAAGGCAGGAATACATAATATTTCATGTGCTGAAGGACAAACCTTAAACATTGATACAGGTCCACAACGGAAAATCTTACGCAATCTTCCATATACTGAGAGTTCTTCATATGTCATTCCCATGTCCACTTCATCTAGCTGCTTCGCAAAAATAGAGAGCATGGGCGTTCATACTTTAGAATAGAAATAAGTAGATAATGAAAGACGTGTCTGGAACAAAGAGTGAAAAATACAATAATGCACAAAAAGTGACACCTGACTATAGTTAGAGCGTATAGGCTCCAATTCAGCAGTGGGAGGAGCTGCTTCAATATCTACCAATGATGAGTAACCAAGATGAATGGCTGCCCATCTCAGAAATGTTCGAAGATCCATCTTGCTAATACTTCCAATTGGATTTATATCAGCTGAACTGCAATCATACTGCAACATGCAAACAGTATTAATAAAATGATAATTATATACTACGTATATATTATTTCTAGCAAGTATTTGTATGTTACTCGCATATATTCTGTGTATAGTATTAACAGGGGATAATATAGATGATGATGATGATGATGGTCATATAATATTACTATTAATAACAATAAATACATTAATAATAATGATAATAATAACAATAACAAAACATAATAATAATACTCCCTCTGTATTCTATTGTTTGCTACAATAAGGTTTGACACAACATATAAGGGAAAAGTAGTAGAGATAATGAATAGGGTAAAAAAAGTATGAGGGGGTGGAAAAGTATGAAAAAGTAGAAAAAGTAAGGGTATATGAGTATTTTTAAAGGGAAAACTTACCAAAAACGGAAAGTGTAGCAAGAATTACAATACATCCCAAAAAGGAAAGTGTAGCAAATAAAACAATACGTAGGGAGTAATAGTAATAATTATAATGATACACATGCGCGACGAATATCTCCACTCTACCTCCCCAAAAAAAATGTTGACTGACCTTTGTTAGATAGCCACGCAATGCTTCATCTACATTGGAGCTACCTAATACCAAATAAAATCCCAGTTTATTGTGAACCCATGGCAAGAGTGACGCAAGCATGAATGCTAAGACCATTCTGACTCGAGCTTGAATATTTTGCAGGCCCAAGTTTTCAATGCTAGATCCCCCGTCTACCTAGAAGGGAAGAATCAATAGCTAGTCAATACCAACCCTATATATGGGCCAAAATGTGATCGTTGTTATGACTTACGAGTTCACAGGTCCATTTATACACAAGAAAAAGTGCAACGTCAAATATTATTATACCTTGTAGTGTGGACGCTTCCCTGTAAGTGTATGGAACAAAGAGATCAAAGAAGAAACAACACCATCTATGCTAACATTTAGATGCCACGATCCAATTTCATCTGCCAGAAGCTTTGCCCGTGATGCCGTGGCTTCAGAACTATTATCAATCATAACAATTAACATATTACAACCAATATGCGGACTGTTTAAAGAATGAATACTAATTTTTTATAACAAAAACAAACAGAAGATGGGAGGATCTTTGATAGTTTTGCATTCATTTTCCAAAAACATAACTGAATTTTTCTGAAGGCTGCAGAAACCAAAATTGATCGGGGCCTTTGTTGCTTATATTTTTTCCTGAGATTGTCCGATAGAGCAATACCAATTGTAAAATAATTTACAGTTCAATTGGATTTTACAAGGAACAGAAAAAGATCAAACTTTCATACAAATTTGATCATGTTATATTTTGTATAAATTTAGTTCACTTAGTTGTCAATTTTTGTGGCAACATTCAGAATTACTTAAATCCTTAGATGTTTAAAAATTCAAGTCTTGGGATATTTTCTTTTGAAAACAGTTCAAAAGAAAACATCCTTAAACACATGTTACACATCAAGGTAAGCTCCAAAGGCACCCTACTACTATTCTTAAGAACACACCTATTTTCAGACCCCATGAAAACCGTATAAAATATACGCTTAGCAAATTCTTTGCTATCTATTGGGAACTGTCCATCAGTGTACTGGCCAATTCGCATAGCATCAGCCTTGACCTGTTCATCCCCATTTGCAATTTCTGCATCCCATAAGCATTTCTCTTATAAGTATTCAGTAACAACTACTGTGAAAGCATGTATGCAATTTCATGATAGCTAGATTGTCCATGTACACTTGAAAAGAAGCTTCTCAAAAAAGAAAAGGTTTACATTTAATGGACTTTAAATTACTTAACCTGGCCAGGTGGCCAAGCTATTGGAGCTTGACTGTTTCAATAAACATGCACTCATGAAGTCATGGTGTTATTTAGTAATCAGTTACACTTTTTCAATAAAACAGGCGTGAGTAATTGAGTTCGGAAGGATTTTTAAATAGACCACAAAATATTCATGTTTGGGTGAGGCAGGCAACTAAAGTACCTTTAACTACAAGCTGGCACATTGAACCAACTATAGCTGCAACAGAGGAACTATCAGCACCACCTGAAAGTGGGAGTAAAAAACCAGACGCGCCACTTCTTCTTAAATAGTCCCATAACCAGCAAGCAGGCCCAAGTGCTATTTCCTCCTCAGGAGAGTGATACCTAGTCTACAAACATAAACCAAGACTTACTAGCGACGGACAATATTAAAACAAGGTAGGTAAGCAGGTTGTAGCACAAGCTAATAAGCTGAGACAACCACTTGAGTTGTCAGACATATATGAAACATTACAAGGGAAATAAATGAAATAAATTTATAAAAGAAAAGTAATACGACATATTACCTTAAGAGGACTAGAAAGTGACCTTTGGAGATTGAAGGACTTGCAAAGGTTGTATGGAATGACCACTGCAGAAACTTTAGATTTCGAACTAGCTTGCTCTTGGAAACTACTGGTAGATGTCCTAAGACTAGCAACCTAGCATATAAGCAGAAGAAAAAACTGGTAAACAATTAGCTGACAATCGACAACATAATATAACATGTTGATAAACAATAGCTAAACATGTATTCCTTCTGCAGTATATATGCAGGAGCAGACAAATAATGCAATCCACCTGTGACAACAACAAAAAACAAATAGATTTTCTTTAATCTAAAAATTGAAATCCACTAAGTAACAAAGGGCACTTTTGTGCAGTGCTTTTCTAAGTTGTAGATTAATGTTGTGTTTATAGCTACCTATGAGCAAGTATGCGTGTGTGATAATCATCATATTAACTCCCAGCAACTAGATCAGAGACTTTACGGTCTAACTACAATGTGGAAAATGAGGTTAAGACTTCATAGTGAATCAATACTCACAGAATCATATCTAGTTTCAAGGTTAATTGCACGAGACTCCCTCCTAAAGTCCAACTATTGCACCCCCACAGTTTTTGTTTAAATTTATATTCTCTCATTCATTCCACTATCGCTACTTGAATGCACTGTCCAAGAATTTTGTCAACTAAGAATTTGCAGTGTACCGCATCTAAATCGATTTCAGCAAACACCATTTCAACATCCTTCAGAGAAAACTGTGAACCTTGAGCTACAATATCTCCGTTCACAACAACACAAGAACATCCATCTGCAGAACAGAAAATAAGCAACTATTACATTCTTTTCCTAACACCTTGATTCAATTGTTATGTACCAAATTGCTAGAGTGACTAAATAACTCTTCGGATTATTTTATCCAATATGTGATGAGGGTGCATGTGGCTACCAAAATAAAGTCGACCACCATCACATCCTTGTTGATTGCTGTACATGTAAACCCCTCCACGTGTGTGAGTGGCACTTACAAAAGCCCGCATGCGAAGATCAAGCTTTCTTAGCTGATGATGACTTCCACTTGCATTCATAAATACTTCAACTCCATTCAGTGCAAGTTCAGCATGAGGTGGTGAAGGTACAAAAAGTTCCTCACAAACTTCAGCTGCAACAGCTCTGAGGGAAGCATATAATACATCACATTAGAATCTCAAATAGTCAGATCTGCCAATAGCTATACAAGTATGCATCTCTTAACCAAATGCTTCATGTTGAATTACATTAAAGACTGACGCTTCTGAAAATTGTGCAATGCTTAGGTAAACATTACTACACTAGTACACATTTGAGGGCATTTAAGCAGGGAAAGGATCCAGAAAGCAAAGTTTACTAATATGAAACAAGAACAAAAGGGATCCAGATATATTTATTTTAGAGAAAACTGTCAAATGAGCTCCTCTACTACTTCAAAAGGGTCAATTAAACCCCTCAACCAAAAGAACATTCAATTAGACCCACGAACCAATAAAAAATTCTCAAATTGGCCTTTTAGCCGGTGAACTTCGAGCTCCCGGTAAAATGCTCACGTGGCATATGATATGTCTTTTAAAAAAAATTCCTCTTTCTTTTTCTATTTCTTTCCCATCCGCATTTGTTTTTCCTTCACTTCCTCTCAACTCCACTTCGTTTCCTCTGTAAGTGTTCATTCTTCTTTCCTCGCATCTGGTCAGTAGGTGTTCATTCTTCCTGGCACCTTCAATTCTTTCCTCTGCAGACGAGCTCGCGTTCTATCATGGAAACGGTGAATGGTGTTGCAGACGAGCTCCCGTTTGGCCTTCCGCCTTCACCGTAGCCGGGGAAAGATGACCACAGATCTGGTCCACCACCGGCCGGTGCCATCTTAACACCCGTTGTCCGTCGGTGGTCTTCGTCAATGGGGAAAAAGAAAGAGACAGAAAGAAAGACACTAGCCGGAGATGAATTGTGCGTTGGGCGGCCTGAGTTGAATTGTGTGTTGGGCGGCCTGAGTTGAATTGTGCGTTGGGCGGCAGGGGCACAGATTTGGTCACCAAGTGGCTGGTGCCATGCCATCTTCATAGTTGCTGGTCACTGGTGATCTTCCAAGGAGAAAGAGAAAGACTCAAAAAAAAAAGATAGACACAAAGACTGGGAACGAGAGAAAAGTGGACCGGAAACAAAAACGAAAAAGAAAAACCAAAATTAAAAGCCACATAGGCAGAACTCACCGGAGAACCGGAAGGTTACAGGCTAAAAAACCAATTTGAAAATTTTATTTGAGTTCATGGTTTGATTGGGTGTTCTTTTAATTGAGGGGTTTAATTGACTATTTTGGAGTAGGAGTAGTAGGGGGCTTATTTGACAGTTTTCCCTTTATTTTAATGTGCAAAACAAAGTGTTGCTTTATGCAAAAAGTGACAAGGATGAAGCAAAATTAATTTTCACTATCCAACATGAAATTCAACTCTTATAGATCCATTCATAAAATGATGAAGTTAGTGGGATCATTTAGCAAAAATAAAATAAGGCAATTGTCAATGCAATCATTGTCATAAGATAGACAATACTTATCTCTATAACTCCATAGGAAATTTTCTTGCATGCATTTTCAACATACAAAAATCTCCATTACTTATTTTCTTCATATATAAGTCTATAAGAAGCTGGAACATTTTCCTTGACAAGAATACAATGTTATTTACAGAGTCCTGACATAACACATTATCCATGCTCTCATCATGGATCTTGAATCTTGATTTCTTGAATTATCACTAGACATTTTCTTTAAGCAATATAAAGTACCCCACCCAGAAAGAAAGAGTCATATTTGGCCGAAGACCAAAGTACAATTTTATTTATTTAGATAAAAGTACTTTTTTATAAGTCAGCAATGCTATGCTTAATTTTTTATTTATCATTTTTAAACTTGATTTATGGTTTTTAACCATTCCAAACAACTTTTGGGTGGGAAACTCTATTTTGATGAAACATGACCTTTTTATCACAGCTATTTAAACATGTTATCAGATGGAGGGATTACTAATATCAGGGTTATTTAAACATGACCTTTCTATCTATGCATCTAATATCAGTGTAAAGAGAGTCAGAAATTTAGAAGGGATAAGAATAGCAACTTACGTGTCTGAAAACTGAAGATATCCATAGCCAAATGGAACAATTGACTGAGTCAGAGCTTCAGAAACATCACTTGGGAGCTGAAAATCCTCAACATCCCTATGCTTCCAAGCTGTAAACCATCGAAGTTCCCTATAGTTTCCATCATTTGCTAGCCATATTTTGGGCCGAATCATTAATATCTTCCTGTTAAGACACAATATTTGACAGTTGTAGCGCTCTGATCCTTTAACAACTGGCATTCCGAAACTACATAATATGTTATCGGTCCAATCACCTAGCAGCAGTTCTTTTAAGCAATCCCACCTACAAGTTGAAGGTGGAAAACATATCATCGTATGCATAATTGCATATTACTTGGCCTTAGATAACATCAAAGCATCTTACGCATTAGAGATGGTGTCAAGCTCAAAGAAGTGATCCTCGCATCCATATCCAGTGATTTCAAGCTCAGGGCCGAGCCTGACCATAGCTCCTGCCACTTTCGCCCTAGAAATGGATTCCTTTATGTTCTTCATATTGCAATCAAAATCCATGGCCCATTGGTTAAGATTACATGTAGCCACTTTCAGTAACCTCATTTTATTCTTCTCTTCAGTTTAAATAGAGCAGCAATAATTTAAGTTTCTGAATACAAACTCAAATTATCAAACCAGAACAGCATGCGCATGCGGACAAAAATGGACCTTTGACTTTAGGTATGTACTCAAAAGGCCCAGAAAGTTCAGCTGATGCAGTCCTTAGCTTGGGGGTTACAGGCCCCCTATTTATGCACCGCGGCTAAATCTACAAAAGTAAGTAAATTGATGATTAAATACATACATCATTAAAATCACTACACAGGTAACTTTTAATATTTACAAGCGGAATACTATGATAAATGTTCATAAGTTTATACATACCCTACACTTTTATTTTCTAAGTTTTATACATCAAAAGTGAATTACTGTAAAACCATGGCTAATAATACTTATAAATCTCGTCTTACATATGCTACTAAACAATCATCAACAACTGGTATTAGATTTAAAATAGAGAAAATTATCTCTCATGTGAGTATGTGACTAAAACATCAATCATTTCCCAATATATGAGTCCTTGAGTTTTTTCCAATATTAATATGTGCATGAGTATTAAAAGGAAGTGTTTTACTTTTCTTAAATAGTAGAAAATGATATGGATGCACGGTTATATCCATTTAAGAAGCATATTTAAAAGGAATCTTATTTATATGGTAACTGTTTTTTGTCATATTATGAGAAATCTCATTATTTAGTCATATTATGGGAAATTCTCTATGTTTTGGTAATATTTCCGTAATAATCCCATTTAAAATATCATTTTGCAGTTAATTCTTAACTAACATCCTAGCTTATATGCTCCACACTGGCTTTGTTGCTACCACAGTACCACTGGATGTAAAGCTAACTTTATACTAACAAAATGAGGTAAGGATCAGATTGGTACTTGAAGTTGCATAAAAATGGTCAAATAAGTCCTTATATAGGAGGTTCTGTCCGGCCGTCGCCATTTCGGGCGGTTCCCGGTGGAATTTTTTGAAGAAATATTTTGAGCATCTTATTCATTAAGTCTAGTTTACTCATACCAAATTTCAGCTAAAAATTCAACCCGAAAGGCATTCAAATGAATTCTTGAAGATAACTGCGCAGTTAAAAACGCAGTTATCTTCAAGAATTTATTTGAATGCCTTCCCGATTGAAGTTTTAGCTGAAATTTGGTATGAGTAAACTAGACTTAATGAATAAGATGCTAAAAAAATTTCATCAAAAAATTCCACCAGGAACCGCCTCAAATGGCGACGGTCGGACAGTAAGGACTTATTTGACCCTTTTTATGCAACTTCGAATACCAATCTTACCCTTACCTCCTAACAAAATTTTAACACTACTCAATTACTGACTCAAATAAGGAAGAAAAAGATAAGGAAGATAATACATAAGTAAAATAAAAATGAATTTTCGGAATAGAAAAATTAGCAAATTGTATAGTAACTCACTAAATATATATAATTCTGTTTTACCACATAATTTAAGTTGTATTTGATCAATGTATGCAGGGGCGGAGCTAGGGGGTGCCCAGGCTAGGCCCTGGCCCACCCCAAAATTGAAAAATGTCAATATTTTTAGTGTAAAAAATTTCGTGTAAATTTTTTCCCAATAATATTCTTTGTACCGGCCCAGTCTAGCCCAGTGTCCTGGCTACGCCCCTGATATGTATGTAACTATGTATCACATAAAAAAATCTAATACTATGTTGGTCTGGCCCCAATCAGGAACAGTCAGGACAGAGTTTTATGGGGGCGGTTGTAAACTAAAAACACTACAAAAACACATCCAAGTCTTAGCCCCAAAAGATTTTGGGGTCGGCTGTTAACTAAAAACACAATGTAAAAAATTTAAACGGGTAAACAGTTCTAGCATAATGATTAAAGTTTATTAAAATTCATAACAATATATTTAAGAAGTACATACAATATATCGGAGCCAAAACTCACACAGAAAACAATATGTCTTATGTGTTGTTGGAGAGTATTCCAAGTTTCCAACCAATTAAAGTCATTGAACAAAGCAGGTTGAAAACGGCGTATCTTTTCTTTAAATTCTCGGCCTTTGTAAAAGTTGAGTTTCGGTTGATAAGGTCCAAGTATCATATAAGATCGTCTGATTTGATCTCTTTTCTCTAACAGCCAATGACTTATTTTTTTGAGGTTTTCCCGTATCCCACTCGATTTCAAGCGCATCATTAACTAATCCCTCTTGAGTGGGTGAAATATTTGGAGTTTCATCAAGTGATTTAGGTCGTATCTGTTTTCTGTATTTGTAATGTGCTAAAAAAATGAATGCAATGTTGTTTTTTCCTTTTTAGAAATAGATTGGGTAGTACCTACTTAAATTGACAAAAATTAATAAAATAATCAATATATTATTTTCAATAACATAATTCACATTAATATGTTAAGAGATTCACCATCCTATTATTCAATTTCACAAATGAAATAATGATACAAATTATTAACCGAATTACTCAACAATTATAGAACAAATTCACATTTTACATTCTTAAAAATTCATATTAGTAAAACACTTCAACCCTAAAACAGTCAAGCACTCAAACAGAACATTCAAGAATCAAGATTTCAAGCTATTAGCTACTTTAAATTATAAAAAAAAAAACAATAAACACTTATGACTTACCTGCTGGGGCGATTAGCAAAAGTCAGCCAGAACTCCAGAGGAATGAGATGCAGACAACTAGACAGAGGCGACGGGAGGCGGGTGGGACTGCGGCGGCGTGAGGCGGTGCGGGGCTACGGGCGTCTGAGCCGCTGAGCGTCTCTGCGACCTTGCGACTTGCCGAACGGGAATTGGGCAATGGGCTGGCACTGGGCCGGACTGTTTTTTTCACCGAGCCCGTTAAACTTTTGGTCGGAGAACGGGCTTAACAATTATTACTCCATATTAATAAGGGAAAACTGCCGGATAAGTCTTCTATTATTGTCAAAAAATCAATTGAATCCTTGTATTTTTAATTGAATCAATCGAGTCTATAAACTGTTAAAAAATAACCAATTTGGATTTCTAAACAGTTGAATACTTGTATTACCGGTTAATGCTGAGATGGATGCCCTTCTGGTAATAAATTATATTTTTCTTTATTTTTGTTTCTCTCTTTCTTCCTCACACGAAGAGTAGTTCCTGGGTTTGCCGTTTGCATCCACCAGTTCCTTTTCTTTCACCCCTGTGAGCTGTGAGTCCAGGTCTCTCTCTTTCCTTTTAGTTTTTTCGCCGGCGGTCTCTTCTCCATTCGTCCGGCAACGAAGATGGACGCTTGCCCGTTCGTTGCCCATTAGTTTTAGTCCGGCGACGGTTGGGCCGACACTCCCAGATCTGATGTTAATCTTCTCTTCGATCTAGAGTTGCAGGGATATGGAGACAAGGATGGATTTAGGGGGGGCGGAGGGGACCGCCCGCTTGAACTTTCAAAATTGTCTATTATATATATGCAATATTTTCATAAAAGTTTTATGCTTTAATTAGATATATATGTGTGCTCACCCCCCTTAACGTTTAGTTTTCAAAACTTTATATAACATCTAAAACAATTTACATAACTTAAACAAATAAACAATAGAGTAACTCATTGTTCAAGACTTAGGACACTTATTATATAAAAATTCTTAATTTTGTAATGTTTAATTATCAAACACACTAGTTAAACAGTTTTCAAATCATGTGAATTGAATCCAAAATATAAATGTTTGTCTATGACACTTCACATTAAATTACACAATCGATTTACTTCTTATTTTCTAAAAACAATGTATGACATCGATAATAAACATTAACTTATTTTAGCAATAATACAAATATAATATGCACCATATATATGAATCTGCAATATAATATGTTTTCAAAAATAATAATCTCATACATACTATTGTTGTATTAAGAAAACTTTTCATGACTCACGAACATGGGCGGAGCCAGGGGTGGGCCAACCTAGGCCATGGCCCACCCCAAATTTTAAAAATGGCTTAATTTTTAAGGTAAAAAAATTCGTGTAAAATTTTTTCTAAAAATATTCTTTGTACCGGCCCAGTCCGGCTCAGTGCCCTGGCTCCGCTCCTGCTCACGAACACCCTCCTTGTTCCGACAAGATTCATGTTATTAAATAAAGCAAAAGTTATTTAAAAAGCATTGGTGGATGTATACCTTTTATACCCAAATAATTTGATAAAATATAATATATCCTTTTTTATTTTCAAATAATTTCCCTTTGATTTGCTATTTCATGCGCTTTAATGTATCAATATTTTTATCTAGAGCACTTCAATTATAAAATTGAAGTTGTGTTTCATTGTCTAAACTTAGAATGTAATAGATTTGAATGTCGTCAGGTATGTATTAATGGATTTTTTTTAATAAAAAATAGTCGCAGAGCCATACACTAACAAAAAAATCGCTCCGGTGAAAAAAGAAATTTGTCCCCTTACACTAGCGAAAAAAATTCACCCCTACCCAAACAGAAAAAATGTTGCCCCCTTGGCTCGAAATCCTAGATCCGCCCCTGTATGGAGAGAGAGGGGAGCTGTTGCAGGGGCCGTTCACTTGGTTGACGCTGTTTCAGAGGTTCTCCATTTAAGCATCGTTGGGAGTTGTTGGTTTGGGGGTGCTATTGCAGGGCTTTGGGTTTTTTGGTGTGTTCGCGGCAATCACCGGTGGTCGAACCATGGCCGGCCGTACTATACAACTTCATGGATTGTGATAATGTGCAACAAGGTGGCGGATTGTATGGTGACCCTTTGGAAGCACGGAATGGGGAAGAAAATGTGAGTCAACGATGATAGAAAAACAAAGAAAGAGAAAATAAACAACAAAAAGAAAAAAGACAACTGAAAAATAGAAAGCATCACAAAAAATCGTTAAGTGGACTTCCACAAAAAAAAAAAAAAAAGGATGACACCCCATCCCTGAGGGCCCCCCAACACCGACCGGACAGCACGATGGGAGGATGTAAATTGGACTATAATCACAATCTGACAGATAGAGAGTGAGGCTCTGTCCCCGGTACTTGCAGAGGCCCTATACATTTTTCAGCATAGTAACCCCTCATCGCAGTTGCCGGGATTCGAACCCGAGACCTAACCCTTGTGGCACTCCCTCGCTACCAGTTGAGCTACGCCCACCGGTGTTAAGTGGACTTCCACGTCTGCATGTAATGAGGTTGCCGGCACATTATCGGTAAAAAGCCAAATTGATTATTTTTAACCAATTCATAGACTTGATTGATTCATTTAAAAGTGTGAGAACTTAATTGATTTTTCACCAATAGTACGAGAACCCATTTGACAGTTTTCCGATTAATAATGTTCCCCAAGCATAGAAAACCTCACCAAAACACAAAACACCCTATCCTAACTCTCATATAACTAAATACTAAATAGTCTCTTCACCCTCAAAACAGAAAAGAGTATCATAATCATAAATCTTAATAAGGATGTTTTTACTTGGACTGTAATTTGTCCCAGACCAGACCAGTCCAGACCAGACCAGACCAGTTCAGACCAGACCAAACCAGACCAGACTTGGATAGTTATAAAAATACAAAGAAACCAGACCTTACCAGACCAGACCAGACCAGTTCAGACCAGACCAGACCAGATCAGACCAGACCAGACCAGACCAGCAAATTACAGTCCAAGTAAAAACATCCTAAGAGCAACACTATTTATTGAATATGCGGAGATTCTAAGTAAAAGTCGGCCTTATAAGTCAAAATACTAAAGTTCGGTGAAAATTTGACTCATTCAAATCGTCACATTTGTATATTCTGTCAATGAAATGATATATTATTTATTCAAAGTTAGTAACACAGCTAAAAAGAAGTAATGTAATATTATAACGTCAAGTTCAAAGTAATCCATGTATAAAGATGATCCAGTGCAACAGTGCATGATGTAATTAATTAATCAATTCAAAAAAGTTCAAAGTGCCCTATTATTTACTGATTCGACATGAATTTAATATTTAATATCACATGATCATTAATCATATTTGAGAAAATTGCCCTATTATTTAGTTTAAAATGATTTACTGATTCGACAAGTGTTATCACATTATTTTATTAAATTTTCCAATAAAATGAACAAAAAAAGTTACATACAAAATACACTATTTAACTATATATTTACAGACATAGTTAGAGCAACAAGTTGGTACAAAGATTTTTTGGATAAAATTTTATATGAATAATTGTTGAGGTTTATTCTTCTCGGTCCAAGGGCCCAACACCTTTTCCTTAGGCTTTCGTATGAGTTGAGTGATTTGGGAGTATTTTAGGGTCTGTTTGCAACAGCTTCTGCTTTTAAAAAAGTGCTTTTTTTAATGAAATGGGGAGAAGTGATTAAATAAAAGTTGATAGTGTTTGAGAAAAAAATGATTTTGAAAAGTAAAAGTGGGTAGTGTTTGGTAAAGTAAGTGCTTTTTTGTGTAATAGAAAAAGTAAAAGCACTTTTGGCGCGGAAGCCGAGAAAAATAAAAGTTGTAGTGTTTGGAAAAATAAGTGCTTTTTTAAAGCCAAAAGCTGAGAAGTGCTTTTTTTAAAGTGATTGCAAACCAACCCTTAGTGAGCTTAGCAGACTGTTTTATGGCACAAATACTAGCAAATAAGAGTGGAGAGGTAAATGGGATGAGTTCTATTTAATATTAAAACAATTACAGCACACCCTACCAAGCCAAATGTCGAACCTCTATTCTAAGCTGAGATTACACAGAAGAAGTAGAAAAAGACTATAGCTAGAGAATACAAGTTGTCAACCTCTAACAATGAAATGTATTATTTATACTATCATGATGTACGTGGTAGTGGTGATGTGAAGGACCTTGAGTGGCTAATCCTCAACCATAAACCCTTGCATATCTGGGGCAGTAAATGTGTTTTCTGTCAAAATACTTGTTTTCCCGCCATTTATCCTTAGTCATGGACCCGGTCTGGTCCGACCGGCCCGGAACCGGCCCGGCCCGCTATTGTGCGGGACCAGCCCGGCCTGGGAAACCGGTTCCGGTTCCGGGCCTAGACCCGCCCCGGGGGGTAGGGGGCGGTTCCGGTGTAAGAAAAAGGTGAACCGACCCAGCCGGTTCGGGCCTCTTTTTTTGGGTTTGGGCTGGGTTTATGTGGGTTGGGCTAGGTTATTCCGAGGGGTTTGGGGGTGGGCGGAGGGATGGGTAGGGGTTGAAATAAATAATAAAACAAAAATAATTAATCGGGACTGGCCCGGAACCGATAGCCTACCGGGCCGGTTCCGGTCCTTACCCTAAACCTTCCAGGCCCGGCCTGGCCTAGGCCCGGACCGGGCCCGGTCCACCACTAATTATCCTGAGACCACCAGCTAGGAATCTCCCAGGGTTAGCCAAGACGAATCATCCAAGGATATGGTGCCCGCAAGTAGAGCCGCGAGGCCGTGGGGCCTTAGTGGGTTTTGGGCTCATTATCCGCATGGGTATTGGGCCGATCATGCATACCCAAACAATATGTAAACTATTTTTTAATTTTGGATGAGTCCGAACTCAGCATACCTAGGGGTGGTTCGGTACGGTATACCTTATATTTTTTCTCATACCTTTGCCATACCAAAACTTTCGGTATGCAAAATTTGCATACCTTTACCTTACCGAAGTTTCGGTATACCGCATTTCGGTATACCGAAGTTTCGGTTCGGTAACGGTACGGTATCGGTAAATTACCGTGCATGTCTCCCAATACAAAAAATTATCATAGACTAACAAAATATAGTAAATCGTTATTACTAGCGACATATTAAATCTATTATTAAAATGTTACGAAATACAATTAATAATCTATTGATGTCAATTCAATATTGAACAATAATTATAATTAGTATATTTAAGCAGTTCAACATACCACATATTATAAAGTAACACATTCTCCTAAAATAACTTGAACAATATAGATATAATTAAATTAATAGCGATCTCTAACAAAAATAAATAAAACTATTCAAACAACATGGATATAAAATCATTTATTCCTAATATGATATTGTGTATTTAGTCATTTTTATAATTTTTTAAAAATTGAATAAGACTTTCGGACAAAGTTGTGTGTCTCGACTCGCTGAATCCCTATGTAGATACACTTGTCACATAAGTGTATCTCTCTTCACTCGTCAGCTACTTAGCGGCTCAGCCATCACGACTTGCAAGCTCTTGGAACAAGATGGACTTGTTTCTTGACATTTGTACATTACTTATTAGTCATTTAAGATTAGCGTAGTAGAAGCCTATAAGGTTATAGTGGGTTTGAGAAATTGGGCTTTTATTTTTGTATTTTTGTATTTGTAACCAACTTAAGTATTAATTTTGGGCTTCAAAATTGTAATGGATTTCTACAATATATTAGAATTAAAAGTAATTGTTGAGTAGGGAGTCGGTACGGTATTAT